AGCCGAACTCTTTCGCAAGCTGTCGTGTTGAATCATCGCCGCGAGCCTGCTGGTCTGCGAGCCAGGTGTTTCGCGCTGCCGTGGTATGTTCTGCCCCGACGGGCCGCTGGTCTGGAGCTCCTCCACAGGCCCGCGTCTTGGTACCTTTATACGCCGCTGTTCAGTCGTCGTCGTCGTCGTCGTCGTCGTCGTCGTCGTCGTCGTCGTCGTCGTCGTCGTCGTCGTCTTCGTCGTCGTCGTCGTCGGCCTCGGCCTCGTCCTCGTCCTCGTCCTCGTCCTCGTCCTCAGCCTCCTCTACCTCGGCCACCTCCTTCTCCTCTGCACTCCTTTCCTGCGCTCGGCAAGCCATCGCCGCAGGCACCGACCGCACGCTTGTCGCCGCCTCCATTCCACGACCTCCGACGCACGGATGCCTACCACGACGTGGCCCCCCCTTATGGACCCATGGGCCTATCTCGTAGAAGGAAAAGCGGCGTAAACAATCTTTGGACGGTCCACGCGGATTTCTTAGATCTGCGCTGGACCCCCCTCCCTCCCTCCCTGGCGTGCAAAGCGCGTCAGGGGCGGCGCAGAAGGCGCCATCGGGGCGGCCCAGCGCAGATCCAAGCATCCCGCGCGGGCCGTCCACAGTGTTTTGGCAGTTTTCCTTCATCCTTCTCGACCCCGTTCTGAGAGGCTGGGCTTTCATATCTTGGGCCCGTCTTCTGGCGGTCCCTGGTCGGGAACCGGAGCACATGCACTACCAGCGCCGGGCGGTTTTTCACTCCCAGGACCTTCTTGAGGGTCGGGGACGACGTTGGGGTGGTGTGGTGTATACTTTTTTTCTTTGTTTTCCTGGGGAAACAGCGAAACATGTATACACCAGGACCCCGTATACACCAGGATCCGCTTTCTCGTGAGAGGTTCTGTGCAGGGCTGGAAAAAGCGTTGGTGTATAGAGTTCGGTTCCCTATCTGGGGGTCCGAGTCGGGCATCTGGGGACCCAAACAAAAATAAGAGCCTGGCCGCCTCGATCCCATTGCGACGCGCGGAGGTCTGGGTCCCATGACCGCCCGCCCCTCTGAAGCGTTGCGCTGATCACCGCCTGGCGCCCGCGCTCCGGCAATGGCGCTGCCGGCGACGCCCTCGCGAACTCGCACCAGGTGCGCCGCGGGAACTCTCGAAGAAGACAACGGCATGCGCATAAACTCGGAGTTCCACGTGGATGTCATGGATCTGCGCCGGGCTGGCGCCTCCAGCGCCGCCCCTGGCGCGCTTCGCGTGCCAGGGCGGAGGGAGAAGCGGGGATCCAGGAGATCCGCACGGACCTCCCGCAGTTTATGTTGATGTCGTTCTCTGTTCCTCTCTATTCGCAGGATTTGAGCCTTCGGGGGGAGCGGAACGTCGGAGCTGAGGGGGGTGAGTGCGGGCGAGGGTCCTGCAAGCGCCGATGGACAGTCTGAGGACGAAGTTCGAGGGCGAAGAGGGAGGAGGACGGAGGAACGCGTGGAGTTCCTCTGGAGCCTGCCCGTGGGGTCGGCAGAGGAGTGGGAAGAGGGTCAGGAGAGAAGCACAGGCACGGACACAACCGTGCGTTCATTTCCAGCCAGGTTTCGAGATCTCAGACAACGGATGGAACTAGGAACACCCCCAAACATGTAGTAAATGCATGGGGAATCCTGGGATCAGTGTCTACTCATTTCTTTTGTGCCTCCTTGGGCTCCTCTGGAGGAGGTTGATGGCTGAGGGAACAAACGATGATACAAACATCAAGCTCGGAGGTCCGCGGGGGTTCCTCGGCGCGGCGCTGGACTTGGCGCGCGGAGCGCGCCAGGAAGGCCAAGCACCCGTGCGGGGCACAGGAGAGAGTGGGAAGCGCGGTTGCCGCAAAAATCGGCCTGGGAGCAGGGAGAGCAGGTGCAGGTGCCTTGGGCTACTGGGCCATTGGGGCCCTGGAAGAACTCCCTCGCTTCCAGCGACAGGGGGGAGAGCCCCCCCCCCCCCTGGTGCCGCCGACTCCGCCGCCGCGGCTCCACACCCCGTGCTGGGCCCCACCCCACCTTTGGAGGGCGACCGAGGCACCGCCTGCGGCTTCACCCAACAGGCCGAGGAGGGGCCCAGACAGGGCGGGCGCACCCGAGGGAGGAGGTGCATTGGAGGAGGAGATGGCAGACGAGCAGGAGGATGAGCAGGGGGAAGAGGAAGAGGAAGACGAGGGGGATGAGGAAGGATGGAGGACGACGGCAGCTGGCTGGAGCTGGAGTGGAAGGGGCGGGAGGAGCAGGAGGACCAGGGGAGGGAGGCGGAGGTGGGGAGATGAGGGGACCGACAGCGAGGAACAAAGGCTCGGGTCCAGAAGCGTGGCCCGCGCTGGGGCGGGAGCGCAATTCTGCAAGATGGGAGCAACGTGCCGACCCGAACACGGGGCCCACGCTGCAGCGGAGACACCAGTTGAAACACGGAGACGCAATGGGAGTGCAAGCATCCATAAGATGATCTCTGCTCGAAATCCGATGTACCAGAACCATACGCGGAGAAGGCCGACCATCTACGGGACAGGGTTAGTCGAGGAGAGTAGTAGTCATGATGTGTACATGTAGAGACAAAACGGGGATGATGATGATGATGATGATGATGATGATGATGATGATGATGATGATGATGATGATGATGATGATGATGATGATGATGATGATGATGCTGATGATGATGATGATGATGATGATGATGATGATGATGATGATGATGATGATGATGATGATGATGATGATGATGATGATGATGATGATGATGATGATGATGATGATGATGATGATGATGATGATGATGATGATGATGATGATGATACTGCTGCTGCTGCTGCTGCTGCGGCTGATGATTATGATCATGAAGATGATGATGCTGAGGAGGAGGAGGAGGAGGAGGAGGAGGAGGAGGAGGAGGACTGAGAGGAGCGAGCCCCACCGCGGACGGGCCTAACATCGTGGATGGACTGGTACACGCCAGTCGTTGAAAGTAGGTGTTTTGGATTTCCAGATCCCTATTTATTTCAAGTGCCTTCCTACCTCAAGAACCGATATGCTTTTGCTGTGTTCTGTTATTCCCTTGGAGGGTCCGAGCCCAATCCACTTCATCCGCCTTCCTACTTCATGTGTTTGCCGTTTTTTTTGAACAACAGTGAACTTATTTATTTTTCTTCTTCTGTCCTCCTCTGCTCTAGGCCTCCTAGATGTGGTCGGAGTAGATGGGGTCGGAGGATCGCGCCGCGTCGCCGGTGCATCGACGATGGGTCTCGATGTGGAGCCCGATTTTCCCCACGCCGGCACCGCGGATGCGTCGCCGACGTCGCCGATGCGTCGCCGATGCATCGCCGATACATCGGCGATGCATTGACGAGGCGGCGCGATCCTTCGACCCCGTCCACTCGGACCCCATCTAGGAGGCCTCTACTTTCGCGCATCCCCCTCGCGTGCGGCCACGGTCGCGAGGGCTGCTCGCGCGGACGTCTCGGATCGGCTCTCTGCACGAGCTGACGACTAACTCGGGGGAGGAATAATGTTTTACTAGCACTACCCTTCCCTCGTTTTCGCCTTTCTAGGTCTCCTGGGAGGCCCTCGTCGCCACCGCTGGATTCGCTTCGAAATCCTGGTCAGAACGCACCCCGGGAGAGGTCTGGGAAGTAGCGGTATCGGTATCTTCTGGTTTCCCCACTAACATCATTTTGATATGTCCCTCAGATTTCTCGGGGTGGAAATCGAAATTCTGACGGGGGGCTATGGGTGCGTGTTGTTGGACCCCCCTCGGGGTCCGACAACTCGCACCCATGATTACCTAAAGCGCGTTCATCGCCTGGACCTTCCCCATTCCTCCTCCCTATAGGTTTGAATGTGCGGTGTTCGTTGATCATCTGTCTCGGATCGGATTTCTCAGATCGGATCGGATTTCTCGGATTTTCTCGCGATATGAAAGCCCAGCTCCCTGGAACGGGGTCGAGAGTGGAGGTGGAAGACTGCATAAACATTGGTTGTCCGCGCGGGATTCTTGGATCTGCGCTGGACCCCCTCGGCGGCGCCTCTAGCGCCGCCCCTGACGCGCTCCGCGCGCCGGGGAGGGGGGTCCAGGGCAGATCCAAGAGATCCGTGCGGACCGCCGAAATTTGATGTGTCTGTAGTTTGCTCTTCTCATCCCAGCGCCGTGCCCTCGTCCTTGTTCTCCTCATCCCTCCCCCCGCCTGAGCATGATGGGCCTGTTTTCCACCACCACCATAAGCTGGAGGGGGAGGTAGTCCTCCTCCTCCTCCTCCACCTCCTCCTCCTCCTCCTCCTCCTCCTCGTCCTCCTCCTTCCCCCCTCCAAACAATGGTGGTGGTGGTGGTGGTGGCAGAGCATGCTGAGGGGGAGGAGCATAACCGCCTCGCGACGTTGCTGGCGTTCCGGAAGGCTGTTTGCCCGCCCCCTCCGCGTCTCGCCCAGGATGTGTTGCCGCGTGGTTTGCGGTGTCTCACGTGGGATGATCGGGTATAGCCAGGACCCCAGGTAAGGGGACCCGGTTAGCAATAGGGCCTTGGAGCCCCTAAATGGGCTTGACTCACTAAACCAGGTCTGCTGTAGCTCGTGTTTTTTTCGGGTGACGGCAGTTCTGGTTAGTGGAGCGGGGCGGGGGGGGCGTCCTCCAGTACACATCACTAAACCAGGTCCCACTAAACCCATCTCTGCCAACGCCCGAGAGGAGTGGGGTCGAATTAAGTCGGGCATGTCCCTCTACAGGAGGAGTCTGCAGATGGAAGCTTTATATTCAGGTGACGATTTTGCGTGCTATTGTGACTATCCTTGCTCATTTGCTGGGTCATTTTGAATTTTCGATTTTTCTTCCCAAATCCTCTTGTAGGAGGACATGCCCGACCTAAGGGTCGAGGAAAGGAGGTGTCCTTCGGAGATGTAAACGGAGGAGCGACTGCTCGCTTACTTTTTTCTTGTCTCCGCCATGCATCATCCGTCCGTTACCGCCCTGGTCGGAACCACTTGGCTCAGGCAATCTGTGGCCAAAGCCTCGAAATTACGGCAGTGCCTCCTACGGCGCAGGCGCAATAGCACTTTCGAGATGGCCTCGTTGGCGTCCGTCTGTTCGTATGAGGAGGCGTCGGAATCGGAGCAGGCTCACATGAAGAAGTGCCGGCATATTGAAATCAAGGGGCTGATCGTCGTGAATCCGGTGGTCTTCCTCACCTCCTGCATTTTCCTGTGGGGCTTCGTGATCGCCTGCTGCGTCGAACCAGACTACATGAAGTACGCCATGGACGAAGTCGCCTGGGGATGGATTCCAGAGGTGTGGACATGGATTTACATTATCTCTCAGGACATCTGGGTTGTTGTCCTCCTCTGGGCGATGTACGCGCACGGCAGCCTGAAGCTGGGAAAGGACGAGGACGAGCCAGAGTTTAGCACTGCCACTTGGTTCTCGATGCTGTTCTGCTGCGGTGTCGCAACAGGCCTGTTCTACTACGCGGTGGCGGAGCCAATGTGGCACTACAAAGGTTGGGGATCGCCGCGGTTCATCTCTGGGGAAAAGGGCTACGGTACTCTGGACGAGGACGCGACGCATGCGCTGATGGTGAGTGTCTTCCACTGGGGCTTGCACGGCTGGATCCCCTACGTGGTGATGGGTGCCGTGCTGGCCATCATGACTTACCGGCGTGGATACCCGATGACCGTGCGTTATGCGTTCGTGCCTCTCATCGGTGACCACGTTTACGGCTGGATGGGTGACTGCGTAGATGCCCTCTCTATCGTAACTTCTATCGCGGGTGTCTGCACCTCCCTCGGCCTGGGGGCCATGTCGATCAACGCTGGGCTTCAGCGACTCAGCTGGGGGTCATTCCGTGGCGTGAACTACGCCATTCCAGACGAATCCAGATATGCCCGTCCTGGGTGCAACGGCCAAGGATTCGCCTGCAAGGATGGAGAGGAGTCTTTTGGCGTCCAGCGAAACACGGAGACCCAGATCTTGGCCATACTCATCATCACCAGCCTGTCCACCGTGTCGGTGGTGCTGGGCATCGGCCGTGGCATCAAGTTTCTCTCACAGTGTGTCTTCGCGATGGGCACCTTTTTGATGCTGGTCGTAGCGCTGAACGGCGAGACTTACCTCATCCTGGACAACATTGTGCAGGTTACCGGGTACTACTTGTGGTACATTCAGGTGCCTGCGGCAAGTTCGCCACCGTGCTGGCGAGGCACCGCCCCAGAAGGCCATTTCGTGCGACATCTTCTCGTCTCCATTTCTTGAGGAGCTCTCGTGGAAGCTGCTTGGGCCGTCTCGGCCTGTCCCGGGGTCCTGTCGGGCAGCCTTGAGGGTCCCTTGGGGCTGTCTTGGAGCCCTGTCGGGTTGTTTTGAGGCCCCATGGGGCCGTCTTGCGGCCCCCCCAGCCATCTGGGGGGTCTCTTGATGCCGGCGTGGGGTTGTCTTGGCGCCTGCTTGGGCCTGGTTCGAACCCCCCCCTCCCCTCGCACTCAGGAGGGGGTGCCCCCCCCTCGGTTCGATCCCTCCCCCTTGGGCAGTGGTGGAGGGGGGGCTTCCGCCGGTTCGATACCCCCCCTTGGGAGGCCGGTGTCCAGGGGGGGGCCCCCTCCGGTTTTCCAGGCGGTGCTCCATGTGTTGGGCGGGGGGCTCCACCCCCTCGGTTCCAACGTGCCAAGGTTTTCTTTTCTCAGGCAAGCGTCCATGAGACGCGTTTTTTGTTGTTTTTCTTCTTCTCTTTCTCTCTCTTTTTTTTGTTCGCACTCTCTCCCTCTCTCTTTCTTTCTCTCCCCGCACACACACATATATGTATATATATATATATATATATAAATATTTATAGCACCCCGCAGTTGCGGATAAGAGTGAGGGGGCGGGCGCGGGGTGGGTCGCGGGTGGGTCGCGGGCGAGTCGCGGGCGGGTCGCGGGCTGGGTCGCGGGTGGGCTGCGGCTGGGTAGGGGGTGGGTCGCGGGTGGGTCGCGGGTGGGTCGCGGGTGGGTCTCGGGCTGGGTCGCGGGCGGGACGACGACAACAAACAACAAACAACAAACAGCAACCAACAAACCAAGAACAGCATCAACAGCACCAACAACATCAGCAGCAACAGCAACAACAACCACACCAGCAGCAACAACACCACCACCAACAACAACACCACTAACAACACGAACAACAGCATCACCAACACGCGCCAACACCGATAACAACACCAGCAGCAACATCAACAACAATCCGCACCGCGGAAACCCACTTCAGCCACGCACCCAGGGACAGTGAATGATCGTTCGCCCCCTCACCCTGATATACACACCAGCGTATCTGTGTACACATGTATACACATGTGTGAATACACAGCCGTAAGACACCTACACGCATTGAGCATGTATGCTGTGTGCATATCGAGAGCCTCTCAGAGAGCGTCTCGGAGGAGTCTGGGGGCCTGCTGGAGGACTATTGGGCCCCATCGGGCGCTTCCTACGGGCTCTTGGGAACGTCTTGAGGCAATGGTGGGCGAATTTTTGACGCGTAGCGTATCCCCACCAGCCCTCTTCTCGTCGCCGCCTTCTCCTCCCTCCCTCGTCGTGGTGAGCTGGCGCCTTCTCGGCGACTCCTCGCCTTCTCGACGCTAAGTTGCTTCTCCCTGAATTTTTCTCGTGCAGGGCAGCTGCGAGCCTGCTTGCAGGTGCGGTCGGCTGTCGCCAGGGCGGCTCGATTCGCCAATTATCTGGCTCTGTGCCCCAGACGCCCTGTTCTGCATGTTGCATGTATGGTCGGCTGTCGACAGTGACAGCTGGGTTCGCAAATTATCTGGCTCTGTGCCCCAGTCAGCCCGATTGACACGCCCTCTGGACTCTTCCTTGCGGGCCGCTGATCAAACAAGTATCCCCACCAGTTAGGCGATTAGTTCTGCTCGTAGCCCGAGCCGACCCGTGACGCCGCCGGCGCCTTCGCTTGCGGTTGCGACAAACAAATCCACACCAGCCCATCCAGACGGTCGCCAGGTGAGTTTCCTTGTGATGAGGGCAGCGTAGAAACATACAGTTCGACAACCGTTCTGGATGCCTTTCGGGTGTGCGGGGAGGGCAGGAACAGTTGGTGTCTCAGTCGTCAAAAGGCAGGTTGAACAGGTCGACCCGGCGCTGGCTCCGTGGGTGTCTTCTTGGGGTCCCCTTCGACGAATGCTGACCTGCCACGGTTATGCCATCGGAGAGGGGCTCTTTTACCACCATGTTGCCAATGCTTTTCCGAACAGCTTTGGAAACACATCAGATCATTGCCCCGACTGGGACACGAGGAGGTGGAAGGAGAGGAGGATGAGGAGGAGGAGCAGGAGCAGGAGGAGGCGGAGGAGGAGGAGGAGGAGGAGGAGGAGGAGGAGGAGGAGGGGGAGGGGGAGGGGGAGGGGGAGGAGGAGGTTTCACGCGGCCCTGAATGTGCTACTCCTTGCCGATGCTTTTCCGAACGGGCTTAGGAAACACATAAGATCATTTTGCCCCGAATGAGAGAGGAGGAGGAGGCGGAGGAGGAGGAATATGATGATGATGATGAGGAGGAGGATGATGTTGAGGAGGAGGAGGAGGAGGAGGGGGAGAAGGAGGAGGAAAGGTCTTGGTGGTCCTTGGGGCCTCCTTGAGCGTCTTTGATGCTTCGAAGGAGCCTCTTGAAGCCGCTTTGGTCTCTCGTGGGGGCCTCTCTGGGGGCCTCTTGAGGGCCTCCCTGGGGATCCTGGGCGCCTCCATTGGTGGTGCTCTTCGCCCCATTCGGGCTCTCTTTGGACCGTCTTGGAGGAGACCGATCAAACAGGGGGGCGGGTCCCAATTGAGGTTCCCCCCTTGGAGGCTCCAAGATTCAGGCGATCGCAAACATGGTTCAAGGGGGCGTGGATTAGCGACGGGCACCGTTTCCATGGGAAATCGCCGATATCCGCCGCCGAACGAGGCGCACCGGCCGCATTTTGGGGAGTGCCCCTCACCCGATCCATGGATTTGGCGACCGCGCGCCAAATCCATGGATCGCTTCTCTTGGGCGCTCTCTGGGCCGTCTTGCGGCTGTCTTGGGCCCATCGCGGGCCTCTCTTGGGGCCATCTTGAGGCCCACGATGCTCATCGGAAACGACATAGCGAGATGCCACACCACGTTGCTATTCTGTAGATTGTTTGAAAGATTTTGGCCTCTTGGGAGGTGCCTGGGAATGCTCGAAGGGCACTCGTAGCCGTCTTGGGGCTGCCTTAGGCCGTCTTGAAGGCATTTTGGAGGCTATCTTGAGTGATGTTGAAGCATCTGGAATCATCGTCGAGGTCGTCTTGGCCTGCAATTTCTCGGGTGGCACCCTGGCGACCTTCCTGGGTCGTCCTGCCAGATTTCGAAGGCTCTGGAGAGCGCCCCAGGGAGGCGCGGGGGCGCCCGGGAAGCGCCGGGAGCTGGGGGGGGCGGAGCACGCAGCGGTGCGAGAGGCGAAGGGGACGCCTCAGAAGGTTTCCGCTGGCCCTGCCAGAGGGCCGTTGCTTGGCGTCGCTCGGACGTGTGAATTTTGCCTTCGGCGAGGACCATCGAGGAGCATCCTCGATCATTTGGCGAAAAAGCCACGCACGAAACCGAGCAAAACATAGGAAATGGACGTCCGAGCGATGGCCAGGGCCCTGCCAGAGGGCCGTTGGCGCTCTGCCACGCCTCCACGTGCCAGGGGGCACGGCGGCGGATCGTCAAGATCGGCTTCCACTGCGACGCTTGGGAGCGTCTCGGCGGGAAAGACATGGGACTCGGCGGGGTTGACACAGGTGGCGGTGCCACGTGGATCATCGACTGGACCATCTTTTATTGGGGCTGGTGGATCTCCTGGGGCCCTTTCGTCGGCACGTTCATTGCGAGGATCTCCAAGGGCAGGACCCTCCGTGTGTTTATTCTGTCCACGCTCATCGTGCCCACCCTTTACAGCATTGTTTGGTTCTGCGTGTGGGGGACCGAGGGCATCCGCATGCAGCGCATGGCAGACACCAGCGGCCTCTGCACTCAAGCCTACGCTGGCAATGGGGACTGGGCTGCACAGTACGATCTGGACACGAAGAAGAACTTGACCCTGGGCTGGACCCCCGCGTGCGTGCTTGATGACGCGTACCACGGCGGCTACGGCAGGTGCAAGAGGGCGAAGTTCACCAGTTACGTGGACCCTTCCAACGACGGGAACGGTAAGAAGTGCGTCAAGACCACAAACTGGGTAAGTGTTCCTTGCGGCGGTGCAGCTGATCCCACTTTTGTTGATACGACGTACGCGAATATCTCTGGCACTGAATGTGCCAACTACTTGAGCGAGATAGAAGCACTCGCCGCCGATAATTACAACCAGTTCCCGGTCGCCGAGCAGCAGGACTGCTTCGTCCCCCTGCAAGACGGCACCGTGTGTTTGTACAACAGGGACACGGCGGATATCCTCTTCGATCAGATATCCAGCTACGCCCCGCGGGGCTACTCCGACATGCTGTGCGCGCTCACGCTCATCATCTTGACGTTCTACTTCGTCACCTCGTCAGACTCTGGCTCTTTCGTAGTGGACATGCTGGCCTCCAACGGCCACCCAGACCCGCCTATGTTCCAGCGCGTCTTCTGGTCCTTCACAGAAGGGGCCACCGCTATTGCCCTGCTGTATTCGGGCATCAACCATCCGAACGCAGACGCCTCTCTGAAAGCTCTGCAGGCTGCGTCCATTATCACCGGCCTGCCCTACACGTTTGTCATGTTCTGGGCCACGCAGTCGCTTGTCATTCTTGTCCAGGAGGAGAGCGGAGCGCTCGACCCCAACCGAAAGGCTTTCACGACCTTCATCTTCAACATGGATTACATTGTGAATCATTTGAAGCACACGGCCGTTCCCGGCATTCAGATGGCCCGAACTGTGGTCGAGGTTGGCAAGTGGCCTTTCAGCGGCTTGGGCCAAGGGCCCACCTTTGTAATCTGGTGTGCCTTCTTCTCCTTGCTGTACTACGCCAGCATCATCATCACCATCTGCAGCGCGGCCATGTACCAATGGGCGCTCATCGGCTGCGCGCTCTACATCGGCTTCGGCACCTTCGTGGGCCTGCTCCGCAACCACGTGCGCGTGGCTCGACTCATCAAGAGTGGCGACCTCCTCACTGACCTGATGTGTGGCCTCCTCGCGCCCATGTTCACCCTCACCCAGATCGAGGTGGAGCTGCAGCGTGGGCCCCCCGAGAAGAAGGACGACCCTGCGGTCGATGACAAGGAGATCTGACCGCTCGTCTTGAGAGCTGCGTCCACGTCTCTTCATCCGTCCCGTTCTGTCCCTTCTCGCCCTCGTGCTTCCTTGTTTTCTTCTCCAATCTCCTTCCATCCTTTACCTCTCTTTTCTTCCGCCTCCTCCTCATGATCCGTCTTCATTTCTCACCCCTTCCTCGTCCTCGTCTTCCTCGTCCTCCCCCTCTTCCTTTCGGCCTCCCTTGCATGTGACTTGGAAGCGCGCGTCGAGAAACATATGATCACCGGCGACCGTGCAACCACAGACCTTCTAAGACTCATATTTTGTCGCGCTGGTGACGAAGCGTCGCCGCGTTGGTGTTGCACGATCCCCCGTTCCCCGTGATCCTCTCGCTTCCCCGTTCGCTCTTCTTCGATATTTGTGCATGTGTACTTGTTTGTTGTGCCGACCTTCTGTCTCCCCCTCTTTGCCAATTCAAGCTTCGCGCGGCCCGCTTGGTTTCGACCGGAAGAGGTGCGCTCTCGACCCGCGAATGAACAAATATTCGGTGTGCCGTGCACGTCCAGGGGGACCTGCTCAGGGGCGGGGGGCATCGACTTCCAGTGCCACCGCCAGGACATGTTCCGCATCCACCGCCTCGGAGTCTCGCCTTGCCATGGGGACTCGGGGTGATGGGTGTGGATCTCTGGCCACCCGCACGGGCGGGCGGGTGTCCATGTCCACCGCTCCCGGAGTTCCCTCAACGCGACCCCATCGGCCCTGGATATAGACACATTCTGGCGTCACAGCAGTCGCCTGCTCGGGAATGCGGGGATTTCCCCATCGGGGGCCCGCTGCGCCAATCTATCGGCGATGTACCGTCGAGTCTCGGCCACCTGCGCGCAGGCCTCCCAGATTGGGTCCGAATAGATGAGGTGGGAAGATCGCGCCGCATCGCCGATGCATCGGCGACGCTCCTCGATGTGGAGCTAGATTTTCTACGGGCGGACGGCGCAGCTGCATCGCCGACGTCGCCGATGCATCGCCCATACAGCGGCTATGCATCAGCGATGCGGCGCGTTCCTCCGAGCCCATCTTCTCGGACCCCATCTGGGAGGCCTTTATTGCTTCCCTCCGCCCTTCCCTCCTGCACCCCCGTCGTCGCCCTGTCTGGCTTTCGAGCCATTACTAGGCTCTCTGATGGCCGTTCGCCACGATCCAGGCACACCCAGAGCGCTCCCGGCGTGGCGCAGCCGCAGGGAAGCATCCCGAGTCTGGAAAGCCGCCGGGAACCCGCGAAAACGTCCGAACCTCGAACCCGAAAGCTCCCTTCCTCGGCCCCCTCGGGGAGGGCCCGCCCTCCCAAAGAGGCGGCGGTGCACCCTCCCCCCCCCCAGGGGGCCGAGCTCCCCGAGGGGGGCCCGTGCTGGCCGAGGCCTGGGGCAGCTGGTACCGCCGGCTGGCCGTGTGCAGGCGGCTTCTTGCCCCCACGAGCGGGGCAATGACCACCCATCGGGACAACGGAAGTGGGGACGGACTTATGGGTACAAACACCGACAGCAGTTCCTGGTCATTATGGACAGGGCTCGCAGTCGGTGTCGCCGCGGACGGTGCTCATTTGAGACACAAGACCGCCTGCCCGACAGCGGCCGCTGTTGGTTTTGGACGACAGTTGCTGTTGGGCATTGTACCCATTTTTCCCGTGCGCACTTCGGGCGTCCAAATTGCCAGGCGAGCAGGGCTCGTGTTCCAGTCGGCAGGCAAAGAGTGGCGTAAAAGCATAGGCTTTCGGAGCTCCGTGCGGGTTTTCTGGATCTGCGTTTGGGCCCCCCTGGCGCCGCCTCCGGCGCCGCCCCTGGCACGCTCCGCGCGGCAGCGCCGACACGAGACTCCGAAAGTTGGTTTTCATGCTGTCTGTTGTCCCTCTGTTCAGGCGAGCAATGGCCTCCACGCGAATAGCGGTCTCCTGTTGCGTGGCTTCTCGGCGAGCAGTGGGCTCCACGCGAATAGCGGTCTCCTGTTGCGTGGCTTCTCGGCGAGCAGTGGGCTCCACATGTATCAAGGCTGGCGCGTCGCCGCTTACTTCACAGCTCCCACAAGAGGAGCACATTGCAGGCATCGCCCTGTGCCCCTCTTCGCTCATGGTGCGTGTGTGCCTTTGTGTGTGTGTGTGTGTGTGTTTTAATGGCATGCTGTCTCAAGCAAAGACCTTCATGATTCGAGTAGCTTGCCAAGATTGCATCGTCTGAAAAGTTGCCACGACCTGCAGCATGTGGATAGGCGGAGAAGGGAAAGGCATGATTTGACGCCCATGCGAGGGGGACAGCGAGGGAGAGCTCCACCCTCTCGTGCCCAACGGCTACAATGGGGACTGAGAAAGAGGAAGGAGGTAGGGCGGAAGAAAGAGGCACAATGATGATGTTGCTGCTGGTGGTGATGATGGTGGTGATGGGTGATGATGGGTGGTGATGGAAGTGGTGATCGTACGAGGTGGTAATTATGTTGATGACGATACTGATGACGATACTGATGACGATGACGATGCCGATACTTACACTGCATCTGATGCTCACGAGACCGATGACGACGATGATGCAACTAATGATGATGATGCTGATGATGATGATTATGGTGATGATGATGCTGATACTGATGATGCTGACGATTATGATGCTGATGGTGCTGATGATGATGATGATGGCGATGAGGCGGAGGAGGAGAACGGTGATGATGACGATGAAGATGGGTCTGATGATGATGAGGATGATTATTACGATGATGATGGTGATGATGATGCCGATGATGATGACGATGATGATGCTGATTATGCTGATGATGCTGATGACGCTGCTGCTGCTGATGCTGACGATGCTGATGATAATGATGATGATGCTGATGATGCTGATGCTGATGCTGCCGAAGATAATGCTACTTATGATGATATTGGTGGTGATGATGATACTGATGCTGATGCTGATGATTATGATGATGCTGATGGTGAGGATGATGCTGATGATGCTGATGCTACTGATGATGATGATGATCACGAATGATGACGATGAGGATGACGTTGATGATGATGGTGGTGATGGTGATGGTGATGCTGATTGTGATGATGATGTTGTTGTTGGTGGTGGTGATGATGATGATGGTTTACTCCTGCGAACTTACCAGTGCTCCTTGATCATCCTGCTTCTGCGAGCTCCTCGAGAACCTTGATCGCTGCGAGCTCGACCAGTGTGTAAACACGTTGCACGGCGCGCTTTGCACTGGGCCTCATGCGCGTAGGCGGTACGTGAGTTAACGGTCGTATCTTCCAGACATAATTCGACAGATGATACTCTGCGTTCGGAGGTACACGCCAGTCCGATCCGATCCGATCTTCCCCTTACTAGCTTCTACCTCTTCCCTTCTTTTCCTTCTCCTCCTCCTCCTCTTCCTCCTCCTCTCCTGAACGGGAACGAGGAGGATGAGGATGAGGATGACGACGAGGATGAGGATGAGGATGAGGATAAGGATGAGGATGATGCTGCTGATGATGCTGATTATGCTGATACTGATGCTGAAGCTGATGCTGATGCCTGATGCTGATGGTGATGCTGATGCTGATGCTGCTGGTGATGGTGATGATACGGATGCTGATGATGCTGATGATGATGATGATGCTGCTCATGATTCTGCTGCAGATGATGATGATGGTGATGGTTATGCTGCTGATGATGATGCTGATGCTGCTGCTGATGATGATGCTGATGATGCTGATGCTGCTGCTGATGCTGATGCCGATGATGACGATTGATGCCGCTGCTGCTGATGATGCTGATGCTGATGCTGATGCTGCTGATGACGCTGATGACGATGCTGATGATGATGATGCTGCTGATGATGCTGATGATGATGATGCTGCTGCTGATGGTTATGATGATGACGATGAGAAGGTGGAGGAGCATGAGTATGAGGATGAGGAGGAAGAAGCTGTCCTTCCTCCCTCGCCCCAGCCCGAGGAAACGCGAGCGTGGCGTTGCATCTTCGGGAGACCTTGCCTGTCCTGGAAGTGGCCGTCGTTCCTGCATCCGACCTGGGTTCGGCGCGGACTCGACACGCTCAACGGATTGGGCGCGGGGTCGACGCAGGTCGCGGCGCGATGGGACAGGCAGGGCCCCCCCGAAGCTGCAGCTCACCGAGCGCACCCCCCGCTGCCCTGGAGGAGGAGGAGGAGGAGGAGGAGGAGGAGGAGGAGGAGGAGAAGGACGAGGAGGAGAAGGATGGAGATAAAGGAGGAGGAGGAGGAGGAGGAGGAGGAGGAGGAGGGGGGAGGAGGAGGAGGAGGAGGAGGAGGAGGAGGAGGAGGAGGAGGAGGACCCACCACCCCGCCGCGGGAGGCTCAAGTCGCCGGCGGCGGAGCAGCGCCCCCTGGACGGCCTGCGCGAACAGCTCGCGCGGCGGCCTCTGCCCGTCGTCGTCGTCGTTGTCGTCTTCGGCGTCGGCGTCGGTGCCGGCGCGCTCTCTCGCGCCAGGGGGCGCGCGTGGATGATGATGCTGATGATGAGGAGTAGGAGGAGGAGAAGGAGGGGGAATGACAATATTCAAACTAATATTAAGAAGGCTCTTACTCATTCTATTATGATTCATACTATGAATAAGAAGCGTACGAATAACAAGTATACGCATACGAGTGCGACGACTAATAATACTACTAATACTAACAGACGTAGGAATCATCATAAGGAAGCGAAGGCGAATGTTAATACTCATTGAACGAATACTACGGCTAATACCGATACCACTAGCAATACGAATAACGATGCAACTACACTTAGTAATAATAATAACACTACGAATAATCATATTAATACGAATCAGACTATTCAGAATAAGCAGAAGGAGAGGAGGAGGAGGAGGAGGAGGAGGAGGAGGAGGAGGAGGAGGAGGAGGAGGAGGAGGAGGAGGAGGAGGAGGAGGAGGAGGAGGAGGAGGAGGAGGAGGAGGAGGAGGAGGAGGAGGAGGAGGAGGAGGAGGAGGAAGGAGGACGAGGTGGAGGTTCAACATAATCAACAGGTGTCTCCGGGTCCTACCTCTACAATGTAGAAGGGACCTGTCAAGGCTGTCTGAGGACCCTCGGAGGAGGGGAGGCGGGAGGGGTAGGGGGTAGGGGGAGGGGTGCCAGGTGCCATCGGCGGCCCATCCCTTGATCCTTGCTGCCCCCCGTGGCCCCAGTGGTGAAGTCGACCGCACGTCTCGATGCGCGAGAGTCTAGGGGCAGCAACTGTGGTGAAGTGCTTACAATGGAAGCCCATGTCAAGAAACACCCTGCTTGCCTCCAGGGTGCCCTGGGCTTCTTGGGTTTCGGTGGTTCTGCTGTGGAAAGCGTGGCGCTCCCACGCCAAAAATGAATGGGCGTCCTGGGGTCTCGGGGTTGGGGTTCCTGTGGAAGGTTTCTCGTGGTCGAGCTCCTGCTGTATGGATCCTCCCTGCAGGGAGAGCCTCGCCAGCTTCGAGTACGAGCGCTCCTCCCGCCGCACCCTGGAGGCGCTGGCCTCGCAGGTGGCCTCGCTGCGCGGCTCCTTCGAGGCGCTCGCCGGCAGTGCGGGGCTCGGCCCCGATCGGTGCGACCGAGGCGGGTGTCCAGTAATGTTAAGTCGGGCATGTCCCTCTACAGGAGGAAGATGCAATAATTGTAAAGCAATGTGGGGACTGGCTCGTGCTCTTCTGACTATGGCTGGAGGATATTTTGACGATTTGGTGTTACTGTTCTTCCAAGATCCGCCTGTAGGAGGACATGCCCGACCTAGCAGTAATGGGTGCTTTCTGGCGGCTCACAGGACGGTGGCGGCTGGAAATCGCAGCTTTCGCGCGGGATGACGTACAAGTGGCTGGAGAGCGCTGCTATCCTGCATCGATCCGAGTCTGGGTCTCCACCCCTCGGGCCAGCGCTGACCCGAGCTGCTTGAGGCCCAGTTTCGAGCTCGAGCCCCAGTAGCGGGCTGGTTGCAGAGGCGGCTGCATGGAGCATCGAGGATCGAGCCTTGCCGTCCTGGGGCCTCTGGAGGGCTCAAGCCTCAGGGCACCCTCGGGGGAACTTGGGACTTCGAACACCTCCAGAGATCTCCGCAGGGTCTCCAGAGGGCCTCCATCTCCGCCTCCCCCTCCTCGCCCTCGTCCTCGTCAGACTGCTACCCTGAGCTCCTCCCTTCCCTCCCCCTGTTCTTCTCTTCTTCTCCCCTGCTGTTCCTGCTCGTCCTACGACTCCTCCGCGTCACCCCCTCCCCTCCACCTTCAACTCCTCCCACTCCCCCTCCTCCTTCTCCTCCTCCTTCTGCTCCTCCTCCTCCGTGTCGGGGAACCTGGAATCGATTACAACGCATTGGAGTTGAGCCTGAATGGAAATGAAGCGAAGCTTCGGGGGACCCGCGCGGCCCCAGAATTGACAAACTGGGGGTTCTGGCGCAATAGCTGCGGGGTGAGAGATTGGGGAGGCGCTGGTCGGCGTCTCTCTCCAGACTTTCCTTCTCCGGTGTCATCATCTGACGGTCATCTAGGCTGTGAACACGTAGTCATGTCGCATGGCAGAGGAGGGAGGAGGTAATGCTACCAAGTGATGCAGAACTGCCAGGGGGGGTCGCAGCTCCCCATTGGGAAGTGGGCGATTCAACATATTTTCCCAGTTTGTCGTCGTCGTCGTCGTCGTCGTCGTCGTCGTCGTCGTCGTTGCCGTCCAGGCGTAGTCAGGGCGCATGGCAGAGGAGGGAGGAGGTGATGCCACCAAGTGGTGCAGAACTGCCCGGGGAGGGTCACAGCTCCCCACTGGGAAGTTGGGCGACTCAGCTTATTTTTCCTCCCAGCTTGCCGTTCGCCGCCGCCGTCCAGGCGTAGTCAGGCCACAGCGACCAGAGCCAGAGCTGTGCTCTCTAACCCCTCCCAGCGGAGGGCGAGCGAGCGAGCACGCAGCGCCGCGGGCGAGAGCGCACGCCCAGCGTGCCGTGGGCGCGCCGAAGGCGAGCCCCGTGCGGCGGACGGCGGGGAGGGGGCCCTTGCGCCCTCACCGCCCGTCCTTGCTATGGTTTTCGACTGGGGGTGCACCCTGCATCCTCTTGCGAAGGCCGAGCGCGCACGACACCGCCATTCCATGGAGGAGGAGGAGGAGGAGGAGGAGGAGGAGGAGGAGGAGGAGGAGGAGGAGGAGGAGGAGGAGGAGGAGGAGGAGGAGGAGGAGGCGGAGGAGGAGGACGAGGAGGAGGAGGAGGAGGAGG